ATGATCAAGTGGGGTTTATTCCAGGAATGCAAGGATTCTTCAAAATATGCAAATCAATCAACGAGATACACCATATTAAAAAACCGAAGGAGAAAAACTATACGATCATCTCAATAGATGCAGAGAAAGCTTTCGACAAAATTCCACACCGAGTTATGATAAAAATCCTGCAGAAAGTAGCCATAGAGGGAACTTTCCTCAACATGATAAAGGCCATATATGGCAAGCCCACAGCCAACATTGTCCTCAATGGTGAAAAACTGAAACCATTTCCACTAAGATCAGGAACAAGACAAGGTTGCCCACTCTCACCACTCTTATTCAACACAGTTTTGCAAGTTTTAGCCACAGCAATCAGAGAAGAAAAGGAAATAAAAGGAATCCAAATCGGAAAAGAAGAAGTAAACCTGTCACTGTTTGCAGATGTCATGATACTATACATAGAGAATCCTAAAGATGCTATCAGAAAACTACTAGAGTTAATCAATGAATTTGGTAAAGTAGCAGGATACAAAATTAATGCACAGAAATCTCTGGCATTCCTATACACTAATGATGAAAAATCTGAAAGTGAAATTAAGAAAACTCTCCCATTTACCATTGCAACGGAAAGAATAAAATATCTAGGAATAAACCTACCTAAGGAGACAAAAGACCTGTATGCAGAAAATTATAAGACACTGATGAAAGAAATTAAAGATGATACAAATAGATGGAGAGATATACCATGTTCTTGGATTGGAAGAATCAACATTGTGAAAATGACTCTACTACCCAAAGCAATCTATAGATTCAATGCAATCCCTATCAAACTACCACTGGCATTTTTCACAGAACTAGAACAAAAAATTTCACAATTTGTATGGAAACACAAAAGACCCCGAATAGCCAAAGCAATCTTGAGAACGAAAAATGGAGCTGGAGGAATCAGGCTCCCTGACTTCAGACTATACTACAAACCTACAGTAATCAAGACAGCATGGTACTGGCACAAAAACAGAAAGACAGATCAATGGAATAGGATAGAAAGCCCAGAGATAAACCCACACACATATGGACACCTTATCTTTGATAAAGGTGGCAGGAACGTACAGTGGAGAAAGGACAGCCTCTTCAATAAGTGGTGCTGGGAAAACTGGACAGGTACATGTAAAAGTATGAGATTAGATCACTCCCTAACACCATACACAAAAATAAGCTCAAAATGGATTAAAGACCTAAATGTAAGGCCAGAAACTATCAAACTCTTAGAGGAAAACATAGGCAGAACACTCTATGACATAAATCACAGCAAGATCCTTTTTGACCCATCTCCTAGAGTAATGGAGATAAAGACAAAAATAAACAAATAGGACCTAATGAAACTTCAAAGCTTTTGCAAAGCAAAGGAAACCATAAACAAGACCAAAAGACAACCCTCAGAATGGGAGAAAATATTTGCAAATGAAGCAACTGACAAAGGATTAATGTCCAAAATTTACAAGCAGCTCATGCCGCTCAATAACAGAAAAACAAACAACCCCATCCAAAAATGGGCAGAAGACCTAAATAGACATTTCTCCAAAGAAGATATACAGATTGCCAACAAACACATGAAAGAATGCTCAACATCATTAATCATTAGAGAAATGCAAATCAAAACTACAATGAGATATCATCTCACACCAGTCAGAATGGCCATCATCAAAAAATCTAGACACGATAAATGCTGGAGAGGGTGTGGAGAAAAGGGAACACTCTTGCACTGCTGGTGGGAATGTGAATTGGTACAGCCACTATGGAGAACAGTATGGAGGTTCCTTAAAAAACTACAAATAGAACTACCATATGACCCAGCAATCCCACTACTGAGCAAATACCCTGAGAACACCATAATTCAAAAAGAGTCATGTACCAAAATGTTCACTGCAGCTCTATTTACAATAGCCAGGAGATGGAAGCAACCTAAATGTCCATCATCGGATGAATGGATAAGGAAGATGTGGCACATATATACAATGGAATATTAGCCATAAAAAGAAACGAAATTGAGTTATTTGTAGTGAGGTGGATGGACCTAGAGTCTGTCATACAGAGTGAAGTCAGAAAGAGAAAGACAAATACCATATGCTAACACATATATATGGAACCTAAGAAAAAAAATGTCATGAAGAACCTAGGGGTAAGATGGGAATAAAGACACAGAGCTACTAGAGAATGGACTTGAGGATATGGGGAGGGGAATGGTAAGCTGTGACAAAGTGAGAGAGTGGCACGGACATATGTACACTACCAAATGTAAAATAGATAGCTAGTGGGAAGCACAGGTTAATCAGTTCGGTGCTTGTGACCACCTAGAGAGGTGGGATGGGGGCGTTGGAGGGAGGGAGATGTAAGAGGGAAGAGGTATGCGAACATATGTATATGTATAACTGATTCACTTTGTTATGAAGCAGAAACTAACACACCATTGTAAAGCAATTATATTCCAATAAAGATGTTAAAAAAAAAAAGAAACTACAGGACAAACAATCCGACTTCTTTAACAAATAAACTGGGGGAGGGGGAGAGGGGTAACTAAATATGGATCAAAACAGACATAAGAGGCACCTCAGCGAATCACAATGTATAGGCATCATTTGGATCTTGTTTCAGATTAATCAACTGTGTAAGATTTTTAGAGAACCAGGGAAATTTGAAGACTGAGTATTTAATTACTAATAAAATTGTTAAGTGTTATAACAATGACATGTGTTATTGTTTTTTAAAGAGTCCTTATTTTTTAGAGACGCATGTTTCAATATTCACAGATGAAATGGTCTGTTGTGTTTGCTTCAAAATGCATCTATACAGTATTGAGAATGGGAGAGTGTGGAAAGGATGTGAATATATATATGACAGGAGGTTGGTTATGAGTTGATAACTACTGAAACTGGATGATAGAGTCACAGACTTTCATTATATCATTCACTCTTTTATGTATACATAAAAATTTCCCCGATAACAACCTTTTAAAAGTTAACCTGGAAAAGATTAAGAAATAAACAGAATCTTCCTTCTGTAAAAATGTGTACATTTTATTAAAATTATCTGGGTAGGTCAGATATTTCTTTTTCTTCTAAAGGTTTTATTTCCTTTCCTTTAATTAAATTTAAAAATATTTACAGTAGTCCCTCCTTATCTGCAGTTTTGCTTTCCATGGATTCAGTTATCTGAGGTCAACTGAGGTCCAAAAATATTAAATGGAAAATTTCAGAAATAAACAATTTATAAGTTTTAAATTGCGAGTGGTTCTGAGTAGCATGACAAAAATCTCGCTCCATCCTGTCCAGAGTATTCCACCCATTAGTCATTTAGTAGCCACCTGGATTATCAGATCCACTGTCACGGCACCACAGTGCTTGTGTTCAAGTCACCCTCATTTAATAATACTTAATAACGGCCCCACGTGCAAAAGTATTGATGCTGGCCGTTCATCTATGCCAAAGAGAAGCCGTAAGTGCTTCCTTTAAGTGAAAATTTGAAAGTTCTCTATTTAATAAGGAAAGTAAAAAATTTGTAAGATGAGGGTACTAAGATCTAAGGTCAGAATGAATCTTCTGTCCATGAAATTGTGAAGCAGGAAAAAGAAATTCATGCTAATTTTTCTGTCACACCTCAAACTTCAAAAATTATGGGCACAGTGCATGGTAAGTGCTTAGTTAAGATGGAAAAGGCAATAAATTTGTATGATAAGATTCTGAGTGAGAGAAACCACATCTTTCATTACAGCATATTGTTATAATTGTTCTATTTTATTTTATTATTAGTCACTGTTGTTAATCCCTTACTGTGCCTAATTTATAAATTAAACTTTATCATATATATATATATATATATATATATATATATATATATTTAGAAAACATAGTTTATATAGGATTTGGTACTATCCACAATTTCAGTCATCCACTGGGAGTCTTGGAATATAATCCCTGTGGATAAGGGAGGACTATGTATTAAAATATTATATTTCTTTTTTGTAAAGAAGAAGTAAAAATTGAGCCTGAATCTCTTTATTCTTGTAAGCTCTTTTAGTGTTTAAAAATAATACGTAATAAAAATAAAAGGCTAGAAAATTATAACTATGGAAAGTACAAAATGAAAAGTAAAAGCTTGTATCTTCCCACTCCTATTCCCAAAAGATAATCAGTGCTGGTAGTTTCTTGTGATTTGTTCCAAAAAACAAAAAATGGAGAGGGAGTGGGAACCAGACACAGTATGTGTGTGCACACACGTGTGTATATGTATGACATATATACATAAAGTGCAACAAGAACCATATTGTTCTATATCTTATTTTTTCACTTAATAATACAGCACATATTAACACATCACTCTACCCCATTTTTAATAGCACGTTGTTTCTATAGTATGGATATATTATAATTTATATAACTATTGTATTGATGAATACTTAAAATATTCCATTTTCTAAATTTTTGCAAACAATGCTGCTAGATACCTTCCAAATGTTTTGAAAAATCTAAATTATTTGGGATAACTAAGAGTAAAGAAAGTTTGCCACACAAGAATAAAGTTTTTGTAGGCCCATACACTAAACCAATATGTGTAAAAGCCAAAATTTACACTTTTTTAGAAAAGCGGCTATTATGATACATAGAAAGAGCTGTGTAATGTGGAAACATTCTGTATGCTTCAGTCTAATATATATGAATTTAGAATAGTATGGTAATCTTATATGCCTTGATATATAGCTATGAGAGTAGAAATGTGTGTGAAGTCTTCTTTTACTACTCAAATTATGATAACAAAATGCTAGATTCAATTATAGATAGTAAGTGACTAAACTTTTAGCCGCACAAGAAATTCTGATACTAATTTCTCAAAGTTGAAAAGTAAATCTGGTAATGATCGGTTGTGTGTGTGTGTGGGGGGGGTGTGTGTATTATCTAAGTGAACATCAGTTCAGAAACTGTCTTCTTTTAAAAAGAAAAAGAGAAATCCACAAAATGTTCTACCTTGATGTTCATCATCCTCCTTTGGTGTTTGTTCCAATAACGTGTCCAAGGCTCGGGCATAATCTTTCATTACCCAGTACGCAAGACTACGTAAGAAAGGATCAGGATGTAATCTTTTGCAATCGAATCCTGAGACATCCTTTTGGCAACCCAAAATCTTCTGATTTAGGATGGATAGGTAAGTGGATGAAGTCTCAAAATCAGATTCATATAAACGGGCAATTACCATGGCTAGCTGGATATCTTCCATTTTTTCAAGACATACCTATAAATTTAAATATTAAGAAATACTTATTTAATGATAATTATTTAGAGATATGAAATATCCAACTGATATCCTGAAATTATCCACTATTTATATTCTCACAGTGGAGGGAAGAGGTCCAGAGGTTGAGACAGTGAAGGGTAGTTAAATACTTGCTGGAAAGGAGATTAAGGAATAGCAGGAAGATTAAGAAACTAGAACTTAGTAGCTTCCAGCCTAGAAAGATCATTTATAAAAAATGCATAAAATGAAGTATATCAACACCATCTCAGACTTAGATCAATTCAAATAACATTCATCTTTAAATTAAATACCACTTATGACATCTGAATTTATATACATCAGTTCCTGTTAATTTCCAAATATATTTCCATATAAACATAATTATTACTATTTTAAAAGAATCTTCTACTTACATAGCAAATAACTTAAGAAGTAAAGCCACATACTCTATTCTTACTCTGAGTTTATATTCTAAAGTAGCTACTTATCTGAGAATCTGAGGTCATTCAGGCAATATGAGCATCTCTCACTCAACATTTCTCTTCTTTGCCTGAGTATCTTCTAGGCTAAGCTTCCTATTTCAAAATTATAAATATTTGTTACTTTAAAAAATCATACATCTGAGATAATTCTGAAAATATGACTAATTCTAAACATAAAGTACTTTCACTTTGTTGGATATTTCTTATTTTTTCTATGATGTATTTTTCCAATTATGTTTTTCAAAACAGTATAAATTGCAATCTCAGTTCCTTATCTATGAATTTCATTTAGAAGAAAAAGAACTTAAAATATTTGCCTGTCTACACGAAGTAAGGAGATTGTGACCTATACATACTTAAATAGTTCAGAATCACAAGATGGTCAGGAAAAAGATATTCATAAACCATTTTTTCCATACACTTATAATTGAAATACATATACTTATCTTGAAATGCAATATTCTCTATATAAAATTTTTCATTTATGTTTCTACATGTATTTATAATTCCATTATCATTGTGCTACTATTTAAGTTAGTAATCTCTCTAGTTATTCTCTACCCTCTATCCTTACAAACATATGACCAAACATTACAGTCTCCTCCATGATCTTCTCAGGTTTTCAAGCTCTTACAGGTATTTCATAGCATGTTTTCTTAGTTATACCTCAATGGCATCTTTCAATGAACCAGCTAACAAGAAAAAAGCAGCAGATTGTTCAAAGCGTTGTTTTCCAAGTAAAGAAAAAGCGTTTTTCAAAGCGGCTTTACGCCATCTATCTTCATTAAAGTTGTGGCTGAAAAATGTTGTCATTTTTTCATCATGCTGTGACCTGGGAACCAGAGCACAAACATCAGTGATTAAACCAAATTTAAAATAGTTTTAATCCTTTACAGAATATATGAAAATAGAAAATGAAAACCTCAAACATCCATCTAAAAAAGAACAATAACAACTTTAGTGGTAGGTATTTGTTATTAAGCTTCTCTTCGTTTCTTCTAGTAAGGAGAAAACTCAAAATACCTTATGTATACATGAACAGGAAGCAAGTGCACTCTTTACTTTCCAAAGTGCTTTTATCAACTTATTTTTAACAATATCCCACTCTTTAGGTTAAGTTCAAATGATATTCTGCCTATTTGTTTTGCAAATAAAGGAATCAAGGCACAAAAGAGGAAACTGATTTATCTAAGTACTTTCAAAAGCATTATGTTTCTGAGTCACAGCACAATCTTCATTCCATTAAACCATATTAAGTGTTGAGGAAATTTACCTAAACAAACCCCACACTACTGCTTTCTTCTTCATTGAAAGGTAGAATAATGCAGCATCCAAGGCATCATTGTTCCTTTGAAAAGAAGCTTTGGCAACCTAAACAGTCAATAAAAAGTTATACTGAATTAACTAGCTGATAAATTACAACAATTAATGCTTCCCTACTACTTTCATGGCTGACAGAAACTATGCAGATGGTAAGAGCTGACTCTATTCCACAATCGCCAGTAGCTTATAATACATGCTCCTAGAAACAACCCTTTGTATACCAGTAATTACAATAAAAATAATAAGAGCAACTAGTATTTACTGACTACTTACCATGTACTAGACACCTTTCACTTATCTTACTGAATCACCACGATCCAAGAGGTACTATTATTATCCCCATTTTACACATGAGGCAACTGAGACACAAAGAGGTTAACCGAATTGCCTAAGGTCACACAGTAAGGGGTGTAAAAGGGATTAGAACCCAGGTAGTAATAAAACTGTCTAACATAGGAAACAATAAAGAATGCAGAATATTTGATAGGTGAGACCTTTTCTTTTTTTTTTTCCTGGCCGTGCTGCACAGCTTGCAGGAAGTTAGTTCCCCAACCAGGGATCGAACCCAGGCCACCAGCAGTGGAAGCACAGAGTCCTAAGCATGGACCGCCAGGGAATTCCCAGTGAGACCTTTTCTTGAAAATTAGACATATTAAATTTCTTAATGTTTTGTAAAAGTTAAAATGCTGACTTCTATGGTATGTATATGTGATTTCACAATTTAAAGCTCTCTCAACTAATACTGATACAGACAACTGTAAATAAATATCAGTTATACTCACGCACATGCATACACACACATTTTTAAAAATACAGACAAAAATAAATGTTTTAGTTTTTTCTTTAAACATAATTTTCCAGTATTTTTTTAAAATTTATTTATTTATTTTGGGCTGTGTTGGGTCTGTTTCTGTGCGAGAGCTTTCTCTAGTTGCAGCAAACGGGGGCCACTCTTCATCATGGTGCATGGGCCTTTCACTGTCACGGCCTCTCTTATTGCAGGGCACAGGCTCCAGACGCGCAGGCTCAGTAGTTTCGGCTCACGGGCCTAGTTGCTCCGTGGTATGTGGGATCTTCCCAGACCAGGGCTCGAACCCGTGTCCCCTGCATTGGCAGGCAGATTCTTAACCACTGTGCCACCAGGGAAGCCCTCCAGTATTTTTCAATCAAATTCTGACAGTTCTGAAGGACTGACACATTCTTTCTGGCATGTAATTAAAATACAGGTTGTTGAAGCTCCATTATTTTGAAGGGCTTTCAAATTTTAGTTCTTAGAAATTCCATGAGAAAAAGCCTTAATGAATACATAATTCCCCTTGTACCAAAACTGATAACCTCCTTTGAGCCATATGACCAAAGTTGCTGAATTTATAAAGAACCAATCAACTCAATGTAAGTTTAAAAATTATTAAGCCAGTAACACTGTTGTACATAATCATATGGTTTTGAATACAGCACCATACAGACCACATATTTCTCAAAGATACTATATAACCTCTGCAAATAACTAAGTAGAGGTATAACAATAAAAAACAATGGATGTTTTACTAATGAACACTGACTGATGGTAGAGCAGGAAGTCACCAAGGCATGGTAAAGAGGGGTAAAGACACCTAAAATCACATCACAAAAATGCTTTTATTCCTCTTCCTCTTTTTCAGTATTTTCTCTGCCTTCAATCATTTAACTTAGTACTTCAATGTTTAATCATTCTTACAAGAATTTTTATTCATCTTCAGCGAATGAGTTTTTGGGCTGGCCAAGAAGTTCCTTTGGTTTTTAAGTAAAAATAAAATACACATTTTTCATTTTCACCAAGAACTTTATTGAACAACGTATTCACTGTTTTGTTCCATTATCTTCTGCCAGTTTTCAAGCAACTTTATAATTCCATCTTCCCAAAACTTTTTATCTTTTTGAGCAAAGAACTGTTCCAGGTGCCTTTTACAGTCTTCCAGGGAATGGAAATATTTTCCATTAAGGGAACTTTGTAAAGACCAAAATACATGGAAATCCGAAGGTGCAATGTCTGATGAATACAGCAGATGAATCAGAATTTCCCAGCCAAGCTGTAACAGTTTTTGCCTGGTCATCAAAGAAACATGTGGTCTTACATTATCCTGATGGAAGATTATGTGTTTTCTGTTGACTAATTCCGGATGCTTTTTGTCAAGTGCTGCTTTCAGTTGGTCTAACTGGGAGCAGTACTTGTTGGGATTAATCGTTTGGTTTTCCAGAAGGAGCTCATCATAGAGGACTCCCTTCCAATCCCACCATATAGATACCATCACCTTCCTTGGATGAAGACTGGCCTTTGGTGTGGTTGATGGTGGTTCATTTTGCTTGCCCCAGGATCTCTTCCATTCCACATTATTGTACAGTATCCACTTTTCATTACCCATCACAATTTGTTTTAGAAACGGAACGTTTTTTGTACCTTTCAGTAGAGAATCCCATGAGGAAATACAGTCAGGAAGGTTTTTTTCGCTTAACTTACGTGGAACCCAAACATCAAAGCGATTAACATAACCAAGTTGGTGCAAATGATTTTCAACGCTTGATTTGGACATTTTGAGTATGCCGGCTATCTCCCGCGTAGTATAACGTTGACTGTTTTCAGTTAATGTCTCGGTTTGATCCCTATCAACTTCAACTGGTCTACCTGACCGTGGAGCATCGTCCAGCTTCTCAAGAAATCTCCAGCACAAAACTTCGCAGACCACTTTTGACATGTTTGATCAGTCACAGCGCCTTCTCCATACACTGCACAAATCTCCTTTTGCGTTTCAGTTGTGTTTTTACCTTTCTTGAAATAATAAAGCATAATATGCCGAAACTGTTGCTTTTTTCCTTCTATTTTCAATATTAAAATGGCTACACAAAAATTCACCAATTCTGATAAGCGTTTTTTTATTTTTTTATTTTTTTTTTTTATTTTTTTTTTTTTTTCCTTGCGTTATGCGGGCCTCTCACTGTTGTGGCCTCTCCCATTTGCGGAGCACAGGCTCCGGACGCGCAGGCTCAGCGGCCATGGCTCACGGGCCCAGCCGCTCCGCGGCATGTGGGATCTTCCCGAAACGGGGCACGAACCCGCGTCTCCTGCATCGGCAGGCGGACTCTCAAGCACTGCGCCACCAGGGAAGCCCTGATAAGCGTTTTTTTAAATCCGTGCTGATATGACAGCTGTCACAATACAATCTAAAAATTTGTTTCGAATGAAGTTGAAGACAACTAAGTGCTACTAGAGCCATCCTACAGAAAAAAACGAATGAACCTTTTGGCCAACCCAATATAACATATATTTCAAGGGAAAAAATTTTACATATCCTTTTGATTTAATTTTAAGAGATAAGTTACTTGTGGAAATAAATTATATGTATATATCAGAAATCCTCAATTATAATGACACAACACATTGATGACAAGAAACTGAAGAGACTTTGTAGAACATTTCAGATAAAATATGTCCTCCTCTTTTTCCATTGCTTTGGGATATGAAAAAAAATTAATGGGGAATTCCTGGTGGTCCAGTGGTTAGGACTCGGTGCTTTCACTGCCGAGGGCAAAGGTTCAATCCCCGGTCTGGGAACTATCTTAAGATCCCACAAGCCGTGTGGCGTGGCCAAAAAAAAAAAAAGAAAAATTAACGTAGATATTGTGTAATTTATATGCTATAACAATTAATTTCCCTGTACATCAGAAACTACATCTCTTGGTTGGTATGAGAACAAATTCCTTCTTACATCTGCCTATTTTGAGAAGAGAAATACTTATATATTATTGGCAGCCTTACATGTAGCAGGAAAATGACACTTTTACACTTATATTTCAAACTGTGATGTGAAGACCATGAACATCAGAATCACAGGATGCTAATTCAGATGAAGATGCCACAGCCCTACCACCTCCAACCTACTAAATGAAAACATCTGAGAGTGGAAGTGAGGGATGTATGTTTCAAACAAGTTTGCCAGGTGATTCTTCAAACACTAAAATTTAGAAACTATTACTGTAGAGGAATAAATTCCTCTTGGGAGAAATGAATTCATACTCCACAAATGTAGTATCATTAATTGTACTTCTGAGAATTTCAATGGACTCCAAAAGTAAACAAAACAATGACAATCCCACTCTCCTAATCACGACAGAGTAGAAAGGGCACAGACTAAATCTAACACTTTTAAATGATGGGAGTTTGACCTGGCTACCCAACCTCTCTGAGTCGTAGTTCTATCAGGTGGAAAATCGAGATGGTAACATACAGCTGATGAGAAGATAATATGAAATAATTTATGAAAAGCAACTAGAACCAAACCTGGTACACAAAAGGTGCTCAATAACGGTTAGTTTCTGCAACACTGAAAGAATTTTCAGCTTCTACTAAAAAATTTTTAACAATTTTTTTTCTACTAGAAAACTGATTCCAAAAACCCATTTTAAAATTTATAGCATGAGGGGACTTCCCTGTTGGCGTAGTGGTTAAGAATTCGCCTGCCAATGCAGGGGACACAGGTTCAATCCCTTGTCCAGGAAAATCCCACAAGCCGCAGAGCAACTAAGCCCATGTGCCACAACTACTGAGCCCACGTGCCACAACTACTGAAGCCCTAGCACCTAGAGCCCGTGCTCTGCAACAAGAGAAGCCACTGCAATGAGAAGCCCGCGCACCGCAACAAAGAGTAGCCCTTGCATACCGCAGCTGGAGAAAGCCCGCACACAGCAACAAAGACCCAACGTAGCAAAACCAAAATTAATTAAATAAGTTACAAAAGAAATTTATAGTATGTGTCATTTGCTGCCATAGATATGTTCTTCAAGTACACACAAATCAAAATTTTTTGAATGGTATTTTAAAAGTGCACAGGAAGTTTGGTATTTATTAATCTAGCCATGCAGAGAATCTTTTATAAAAAAAGAATGATTTGGGACTTCCCTGGTGGTCCAGAGGTTAAGACTCCACGTTTCTGTGCTTCCACTGCAGGGGGTGCGGGTTCCATCCTGGTTGGGGAACTATGATCCTGCAAGCCATGCAGTGCAGCATGCATAAATGAATGAATGAATGAATAAATAGATCTTTCTTTTCTATGTAATGTATGTAACTGACATACAGTTTGTATTTTCTTAAACTAGGATGTACCTCAGCTGACAGCAGGAAATATCTGTTCCATAAATATTATATACTTAGTATATATGGCAAAAGACAATTGATATACTGCTTGGACATTTTATAAAGGTCAAGTTTTAGTTTTAAAGGTCCAAAAATTTTTATTTAAGAAATTCTCAAGATCTCAAGATGTACATACTAATCCCTCACCACAGGTTTTCTGGAAGATAGTATCTTTTATGCTTTAAGAAAAGACTTAACTTCAAAATCCAATGAAGTAAAGTTACCTTTTCAATGCATCTTCGAAGAGTGTTAATATTCCTGACCCACCAACCTATTCCCATAGCTCTTAACTCAGACCACTGAGGGTCCCCTCTCTGAATTGCCGGAATCATATTAATCAGCTCTTCCTCAGCCTCAGAATGAAAAGCCCAGGCAAAATGGCAAGTAGACACACCTAAATTAGAAATACAAAATAATAAGTTTCAGAACTATATCAAAACAAAAACAAAACCAATTTTTTACATAATCATGTATTTATTCATTCTGGAAACAATTTTCAAGCTGAAAAAACGTATCAAAAGATTTCATCATTCAGTATTTCATAGTATAAGCTTCTACATACGAGATCACTGACAGGATACACAAATCCAAAATCTTTCTGAAATGTATTCGCTGCAAGAATAGAGACACTAAAACTTAATTGCTGGAAAGAAAGATATTTGAATAGCAAGCCATTCATATGTACGTACACACACCAAACTGATCAAGAGTAAAAGCTCTGGTCAAGTCAAAGTATGTTGGTCCATGTACGTGGACGTTGTTTCACAGTGCCTCTTGCTTGCAGACCATATCCTTCAGTACTGGATATGGAAAACTGCCCCATTCACCCTCCGGCCAAGGAGCTACATATCACTTCACAGCAAGCTTTAAACTTGATGAGAGTTCTGGGGAAGAATAGTCAGGAGGCACATTCCTCTGTCTTTGGTGCCTCAGTTAAAAAGAGTTTAAAGCGGCCTAATTACTGATGGCATATGGCAAACACTTTTATACCCTGGTAAAAGACTGACAGGGATCTAGGCTGTATTTAGAGGCAACAAATAGGGTTTAGTGACACTCTCAGTGAGTCTGTCAACAGTTGAACAACTGATAACACTTTACTCCACTTAGAGCAGGTGAAGAAGAAACATGAGAGAAGTGAACCAAGGAGTGATGTTAGATAGTGGGAATGCCACTGGGAAGAACCCCAAGGATCCCAGGAAAGAAGCCAGGCTGGTCGAATCAGCCATCTATTAGAATCCCTTTGGAAACAAAGAAAAGCCTGAGGTCAATGACGGTCTGATAGTCACATTACAACACAGGACTCCCAATGCTGTAAGGCTATCAATATTACCACATATAATTTTTTTCATTAACAACTACTATATAGATTTTCCATATAGTTTAAAGCTTTTCTAACAATTACTGCTTCCCAACAGTTCCTTCGGAAATTATTAAAAAAACTATTAGGACCATTTTAAATAATAATCTTAAGTCTTTTAAATTCCTCATTGCTAACATTTATATACTGTGTTTGAAATCATATCACAAAATCAATGCAACAAGCCTTAACTGTCACTATAAATTAAGGGGGAAAATGGACAAAACTTAAAAACATCAACTTGTATTTTTTCAGAACCTAAAAAGCAGATTAATTCTCTCACTATTTAAATCTGTCTGATTCAAGAAAAAATCACTGAATGAAATAACTATAAAAAAACTAACACTTTGCTTTAGAAATTGCTATTATAAGGTAATGCAAAATGCACACTTTCGCTGATATAAAAATTTTAATATAAAGTAACAATATAAAGTATGTTTTATACCCTTAAATGAAATTTGGTTGATTACATCTTTGGTATGACTAAAAGGAAACAAAAATATACACAGACATGTCAGAGGAATTTGGTTCAGAAAAAAGATTAAGATATCAGTAACTCTATTTGGAAATCTAACTACTAGAAGTGAAAAAAGGTATTAGGAAGAAAAAACAAGGGGCATCAGCAGGCACTTATTTTTATTTGCCTACCAATGGCAGGCTATTCTTTGCAATATATCTCTGTTCTTCTTAGCTTGTCTACTAGCTACTTAAGTTTTTCCCCAGACCATCACCTACAATAGCAGTCAATTTTCTCATCTCCAATGTTTTAACTGTATCAAAGGGAAAATGGAATTTGACAAAGCTTTAGAAATTTGAGGTGTTTTAGATCTCCCTAGGCAATATACACAATTGTCATTAAGTGATTCAGTATCATATGACCATCATTTAAAACTAAAATTAAAAATTTTTAAACTAAAATTTGAGATACCATTTTTTAAACCTATTCCAAATGCCATAGATTGTTTTAAATGATAATATCAAGTGTTGCAATGAGTTGAGTTTTGGCATCATCAAATACTGGTTCTGGGAATGTAAATGAGCATGGTCTTTCTGAAAGTCACAAGATTTATCAAGACTTAAGAATTTTCAGGGGAGAGGGGGAAGATGGCGGAAGAGTAAGATGCGGAGATCACACGTGGAACAACTCCTACAGAACACCCACTGAACGCTGGCAGAAGACCTCAGACCTCCCAAAAGGCAAGAAACTCCCCACGTACCTGGGTAGGGCAAAAGAAAAAGAATAAACAGAGACAAAAGAATAGTGACAGGACCTGCACCAGGGGGAGGGAGCTGTGAAGGAGGAAAGGTTTCCACACACTAGGAAGCCCCTTCCTGGGCGGAGACTGTGGGTGGTGGAGGGGGGAAGCTTCGGAGCCACGGAGGAGAGCAGAGCAACAGGGGTGCGGAGGGCAAAGTGGAGCGATTCCCGCACAGAGTATCGGTGCCGACCGGCACTCACCAGCCCCAGAGGCTTGCCTGCTCACCTGCTGGGACGGGCGGGGGCTGGGAGCTGAGGCTCGGGCTTTGGTCGGAGCACAGGGAGAGGACTGGGGGCGTGAACACAGCCTGAAGGGGTTAGTGCACCATAGCTAGCCGGGAGGGAGTCCGGGGAAAAGTCTGGACCTGACGAAGAGGCAAGAGACTTTTTCTTCCCTCTTTGTTTCTTGGTGCGCGAGGAGAGGGGATAAGAGCGCAGCGTAAGGGAGCTCCAAAGACGGGCGCGAGACGTGGCTATCAGCACGGACCCCAGAGACGGGCATGAGATATAAGGCCGCTGCAGCCGCCACCAAGAAGCCTGTGTGCCAGCACAGGTCACTATCCACACCTCCCCTCCCAGAGCCTGTGCAGCCCACCACTGCCAGGGTCCCGAGATCCGGGGACAACTTCCCCGGGAGAAGAGATGGCGCGCCTCAGGCTGGTGCAACGTCGTGCTGGCCTCTGCAGCCCCAGGCTTGCCCTGCACTCCGTGCCCCTGCCTCCCAACAGCCTGAGTGAGCCAGAGCCCCCAAATCAGCTGCTCCTTTAACCCCGTCCTGTATGAGCGAAGAACAGATGCCCTCCGGTGACCTACACGCAGAGGCGGGGCCAAATCCAAAGCTTAACCTCGGAGCTGTGCAAACAAAGAAGAGAAAGGGAAATATCTCCCAGCAACCTCAGGAGCAGCGGAGTAAATCTCCACAATCAAGTTGATGTACTCTGCATCTGTGGAATACCTGAATAGACAACAAATCACCCCAAATTGAGGAGGTGGACTTTGAGAGCAAGATATATTCTTTTTTCCCCTTTCCCTTTTTGTGAGTGTGTATGTGTATGCTTCTGTGTGAGACTGTTTCTGTATAGCTTTGCTTTCACCATTTGTCCTAGAGTTCTGTCCATCCATTTTTGTTTGTTTGTTTTGTTTTTTACTTAAATAATTTTTTCCTTAATAATCATTTTTTATTTTAATAACTATTTCATTTTACTTTTATTTTTTTTCCTTCCTCCCTCCCTCCCTCCCTCCCTCCCTTCCTTTCTTTCTTTCTACTTTTTCTCCGTTTTATTCTGAGCCGTGTGGATGAAAGGCTCTTGCTGCTGCAGCCAGGAGTCAGTGCTGTGCCTCTGATGTGGGAGAGCCAACTTCAGGACACTGGTCAACAAGAGACCTCCCAGCTCCATGTAATAAAAAAGGTGCAAAAACGACCAGCAAGCTACAGTGCTGGACATCCTATGCCAAACAACTAGCAAGACAGGAACACAACCCCATCCATTAGCAGAGTGGCTGCCTAAAATCATAATAAGGCCACAGACACCCCCAAACACACCACCAGACGTGGACCTGTCCACCAGAAAGACAATATCCAGCCTCATCCACCAGAACACAGGCACTAGTCCACTCCACCAGGAAACCTACCCAACCCACTGAACCAACCTTAGCCACTGGGGACAGACACCAAAAACAACGGGAACTACAAACATGCAGCCTGCAAAAAGGAGACACCAAACACAGTAAGATAAGCAAAATGAAAAGACAGAAAAACACACAGCAGATGAAGGAGCAAGGTAAAAGTCCACCATACCTAACAAATGAAGAAGAAATAGGCAGTCTACCTGAAAAAGAATTCAGAATAATGATAGTAAAGCTGATCCAAAATATTGGAAATAGAACAGACAAAGTGCAAGAAACATTTAACAAGGACCAAGAAGAACTAAAGAGGAAACAAGTAACGATGGACAACACAATAAATGAAATTTAAAATAATCTAGAAGGGATCAATAGCAGAATACTGAGGCAGAAAAATGGATAAGTGACCTGGAAAATAAAATAGTGGAAATAACTACTACAGAGCAGAAAAAAGAATGAAAAGAACTGAGGACAGTCTCAGAGACCTCTGGGACAACATTAAATGCACCAACATTCAAATTATAGGGGTCCCAGAAGAAGAAGAGAAAAAGAAACGCACTGAGAAAATATTTGAAGAGATTATAGTTGAAAACTTCCCTAATATGGGAAAGGAAATAGTTGATCAAGTCCAGGAAGCACAGAGAGTCCTATACAGGATAAATCCAAGGAGAAACCCGCCAAGACACATATTAATCAAACTATCAAAAATTAAATACGAAGAAAACATATTAAAAGCAGCAAGGGAAAAACAACAAATAACACACAAGGGAATCACCAAAAGGTTAACTGCTGATCTTTCAGCAGAAACTCTGCGAGCCAGAAGGGAGTGGCAGGACATATGTAAAGTGATGAAGGAGAAAAACCTACAACCAAGATTACTATACCCAGCAAGGATCTCATTCAGATTCAATGGAGAAATTAAAATATTTACAAAGAAAAGCTGAGAGAGTTCAGCACCACCAAACCAGCTTTACAACAAATGCTAAAGGAACTTCTCTAGGCAAGAAACACAAGAGGAGGAAAAGACCTACAATAACATACCCAAAACAATTAAGAAAATGGGAATAGGAACATACATATCAATAATTACCTTAAAAAAAAATAATTACCTTAAATGTAAATGGACTAAATGCTCCCACCAAAAGACACAGACTGG